AAACACATGTTTAGGACTGACCCATGTTTACTTAAATAAGGAGAAGGTTATCAACAAGTTGTTCAAAAAAGCACAGAAAGAGAGAATCACAGAATGGTTTGGGTTGAAGGGACCTTAAAGACCACTCAGTTCCAACACCCCTGCCATGGGCAGGGACACCTTCCACCAGCCCAGGTTGCTCCAAGCCCCGTCCAACCTGGCCTGGGACACTTCCAGGGATCCAGGGGCAGCCACAGCATCTCTGGGCAACCTGTGCCAGGGCCTCAGCACCCTCACAGGGAAGAATTTCTTCCTGATATCTAATTTAAACATGCCCTCTGTCAGTTAAAAAAGCCCAGAGTTCAGTATAATTCTGGAAGATGCTCATGCACTTCAACCCTACGTTGCAATGCCCTCGCTCATCTGCTGTGCTTCAGCTCTCAAACACTGCAGCAAGATCTGCTTCATAACCTGAGCTGCTGAAACCACGAACAGCATGAAACCTTTCCTTTAAGGAGCTCAGGCACAGTTTGTATTTGAGAAAGGCAAATCTTCTCCTTTGAAACTCACTGTGATAGTTGGCGTTGCACCCCCGAGGCTGGGTTTTCAGAAAGTGGGTGCCTACGTGTCCCTCACTTCCTCAGAAATCTAAGAACAAGTGCTGGGGTTGTACCAGAAGTATTCATTTGTGATTGAAATGTCTTTTAAAAAGGTTATAGTCTCAAAATATCCAGTATGGAATTCGGACACTGCATGGTGCTGTTCCCCTCGTGCATCTGTCCCGAAAGGAGTTAAGATCTGACACTGCAGAAGCACATCAGGACAGTCGAATGAGCTGGGGCAATTAGCATCTGAGTGCTAATCAGCTGATCAACAGAGTCAATAAAATAAAGGCTGCCAGGCAAAGGGAGCTCTGTGTGTGTGTTTGTGGGCAGCAAGTGCTTCTGATCACGGCACGAGTTGTATTCCCTGAGCTACAGCTTTCCAGACAGTTTCAGTTCAGTGAGGATGGCCTTCCAGAAAACAAAACAAAAAAAAAACAATTGAATTTCCCATTTTCAATTTTAGCTTTTTTTTTTTTTCTGACCATTATTAACGGTCCAACAACAGGAAGGGGGGTTATTTGCAGAAAACGTTTTTTTTAAGATGTTTTGCTCACTACAAGTTTTATCTGAAAACTTCACAACTTTGAAAGGCCAGAAGATGGATCTCCGGAATTTTGTGCATAGGAACAAGGCAGGTTCAGGAAGTATGCCTCATATTAATTAAGGACATCTGAACAGTCTTGCCAAGCCTACAGATGTTTTGAAGTGCCCTGGGCAACATCCATCCTGAGACTGAACTCTTCAGTAAGATGATACTTCTAGGCCTGTCTATTAAGGAAAAATCCTTCAGAACAGACTAAACCCTACAAAGGTTTGGGCATAATATTTTTGAGAGATGACCATGCATATTTAGGAAAGGTAAATCACAGTCCCAAATGCCCCTTGCTATTCTATTCCTGCATATACTGGCTATGTTTTAAAGGTTTCAATTATTTTAGCATCTTTTTGCATTTACTTCAAACTAAGTCAGAGCTCTGCTGCCTTTGACAGTGGACTGAGGTGCCCACATGGATGAGACACAGCAAACAGCAAGGAAAGGAACTGACTGTCACAAGGTGGGGATTAGCAGAAGTGAGACAAACCTATAAAACACACAAGAACAAAGCAAACATCAACACGAGAAAACCAGGAAAGAAAAACTACCCTAGAGCTTGTGAAGCAATCAGATGTTATCACAGAATCACTGAATGGTTTGGGTTGGAAGGGACCTTAAAAAGTCATCTCATCCCACTGTCCATGGGCAGGGACACCTTCCATTAACCAGCTTTCTCCAAGCCCTGTCCAACCTGGCCTTGTGCATCAATGGGTTTTTCAATCTCATTATACAATACCCCAACACTAAAGATTTCCTTTCCTAGCCTTCTCCCAGCTGCTCTGAGATAAACTGGTTTATAAACTACTGTGCTTTGCATTCAGCTTTATTTACACTGGTTTAGCAGCTGGAGCTGCTCTTAATAACAGAAATCCTATCTTTGTCAGAATATTCTTACATGCCATGTTTGCTCTCCCTTTTGCAAAGCAGCCAAGAGCTCCATAGAAACATCTGGATTAATGAACAGATCCTAAAATATTTTTTTTTTTTTTGCAAATCATATTACCACTTACTTTCTTACAGCAAGAGTGACGTCAACAATCTCCTCCCCAAATGAACACCCCATGATTTTTTATAAAGACACAAATAAAATTAGTCTACAAGGGAGGTTACATTATTAAAACATATGCTGCACTCAACAACGCTCAAGGCTCTATCATGGCATTTTGTTCTTCACTGGTATTTACATATTACAGTTCTTATGTACTGCCCTGGAAATCAGCTTTGAAGTGGAATGAGGAATAAGTGAAGATTTATTATTACTATCCTTATTAGAGGGATTTTAAAGTCATTAGAGACCAACAAGACACAATAATCATATTATATCCAATCTTCTCTAGAACATCTCCTTTGATAGGTCTGCTAACTCAATTATTTAAATATATATTACAGTAAGATGCAGCGTGACTTCCACAGTTCGGGATAAGATGGAAATTTTTATGTTTTCTTTGCAGCTAACCAGAACCTGTCCTTACAGAATTCATGGGTTGCAAGGTGGGTTCCTCAGTTTTAAGCACCAAATTCACAGTGATCACCTGGATCAGTGTGCCTGCTCAAGCAAAAAAAAAAAAAAAGGTTAAAAGCTGGGGAAGAAATAAAGTACTCTCAAACAGTCAATAGGTTTGGCTTCAACCACTCCCACCAGGAAAAGAAGGAATAAAGACCTAGAGGCTCTGAGGAAGAGCCAAAGCAGGACTGCACCGCTCCGAAAAGCTCAGAAAATTCTCTCCGGATTCAAAGTGACACCTGGAGTCGAGCAAAAAAAGTACTGATGACAAAACAAAAATATCCCAGCACTGTTTAACTGGAAAGCACGACCCTTACTATTGACTCTTTCTGCCTGCAGCTGGTGTGGGGATGCTGCTGAAGGAAGGAACTGTTGTCCCCTCGGGTGTGTCACTCAGCACGGGGCAATATCCTGTCAGCTACAGCACAGGTAGCACCAGCACTGTGCTCTTCTCCTTTATTTCTGTCAGGGCTGTTCCAAGTCCTTCAGGATTTCCTCTGCCTGTGAAACATCTGAGGCAGTCTGGGCTGCTACAACCACGCAGCTCCTGCCTGCTACTTCTGCACACTGACACTCTCAGGATGTTATTGATGCTATCACTGCATCAGCCCCCTTCCAACCCCACTTGACACATTTCCTTTACTCTGCTGCCTCCTCCCCAAAAACTAAAAAAAGCTGTGGCTGCCCCTGGATCCCTGGAAGTGTCCAAGGTCAGGTTGGATGGGGCATGGAGCAACCTGGGCTGGTGGAAGGTGTCCCTGCCCATGGCAGGGGATGGAATGAGATCATCTCTAAAGCCAGGTACACTGCAGCTCAACTTCTTCATGCACCCAACTCCCCCCCTAGGAGCTGTCTTCCAGCAGCAAGGGAAAAATGGGACTTCTGTGGTTACCACTCAACAAGTTGCTGAAGTCACAGACTCCAACTCTTCGCTAAAAGAGGATCAGCCACAAAATCTGATCTTTAGCAATGATGACCTGCACACCTAAAGTAAAGCATGTGCCAGAAAATGGTTACCAGCAGGCAGTACTCCTGCCAGTAAAACAGGGGACGATTAACAGCCCTCAAATGGATCCCAGAATAGCTAAATGATGATCCTGCTGACACCAGCCCAGCTCTGTAAATGGGAGCCTTTTAAAATCGCTTCGATCTCCTTGATCCTCTGCCTCCAAAAGCTACATTAAGTTTCTTGTGTTAAAGTTATGATCTTTGGCCTGCAGGATGTGGTTAAACAACCACCACAAGAAAACCCAAGAAGCTGAGACAAACACATTTCGCCAAAAACTGCTCCCTCACCAAATATCAGCTAAAATCTCTGAGAAATTGATAGAATTTTCTGTTCATGACAAGCCTTAAAGCCTGTTTTAAATAAAAGCAATATACTGAATTCACAGTTCCAAAGCCAGCATCTCCCTGGTTAGTGGAGGAGCACTGAACAGTCCTGAGGTTTGCTCAGTAAGTGCTTTCTCTTCAGATTACCCCTCTGGGTATTCTTACTCTGGGGTCCATTGTGAGAGCAAGCTAGCCCTCAGAAAGGCTGAAAAAGTGAAATATCATTGCTTTTGGAATGAAAGGGAGAGGTTATTTGATGCCAGGCATGTCATTCTCACTACTGCACAAACAATTGCTGGAAAAGCCACCAGAGAAGAGAAGTTTGGTGTATTCAGTACCAGTGAACCTATTTTAAGAATAACAGCAACAAGATATCTATCTGAAAGTTAAGTCAGCTGTGAATAAGCTATCAGGGCAGATGCAGAAGTTTCATTTCTGAACAGTCTTTTGAATAATTCCTATCATTTAAAAAACTGTGTTGTGATTTACATCATTATCTAAAAAACACTTGGCATATATTAACAGAATCTGGGGTGAAAAGAATCATGAGGCTGACTGTGCATTTTATCTTCTATTACTTTACCTGATGCACAAGATACGGATCAGACCAGTCTTCCCACACAGGGTAGCAGATGTTTTCATCCTACTTCCCTGTACTATTGAATCCCTCCCAGTTTCTGGTTTCATTGCACCTCCCAACCCTCTTTGCTGTAGGATTTCAGAACTAATGTTTCGTTGCTTTACGGGGCCACAGCAGTGAGGAATTCTTTTTCTAACTGAAAAGGTTTTTATTTTTAGGAAATGAGTCAACCATTTTGGTACCCAGTGACAAATACCTAAGAGAGACACATACATAAATATGTGAGGGGGTCCTGTAGCTCGTTGCCTTTGAACTATTCCGGGATTTGTGACGTTATCACTTAAAATATTAATTTTTTCCGCTTCCAAACCTGGGGGGAGAAAGACGAAACCCCGCAGCACTTACCCCCAAACACATCTCCGTTCTGGTAGTTTTTCCCCTTCTGAGTTTCCTCTTCGTTTTGAACAGTAGAAACATGCTTGGCGGAGGCACAGCCCATCGCTTCATTCAGACAGCTCCAGCTGCACCGAACCACAGAGCATCTCTAGGGACGCCCGCTCATCGCTGCCAAAATAATCCACCTCCCCTGCCGGGCTGTCAAGCGGCGCTTCTACCTGAAGGCGGCAAAAGAGAGAGAAAAAACATTGGCAAAAAAGGTATAACCTCTAAACGGGGAGCTTCAAGGAGATAAATAAGGAGGTTGGTGAAGAGGAGGAGGAGGACAAAGCACAGGTGGCCTCCGTCGTGTGAGGTCGCTAAAATCTCACTCAACGACATCTGGTACGGGCAGATGACAGGACAGGTAGATGGTGATAAAGGCACATCAATCCTGCCTCAGAGCAGGAGCACAGTAGTTGAACTCTTAAGTCTCTTCCAGCCCCGTTCTTTAATCCATGGCTTGAAGAAAGGAACGCACAGAGATCTATTTCCCACCCAGCCAGACATTCCCACAGAAGGCAGAGGTTTTGGGGGAGAGAAGATAAGAAACCATCAATATCTGCTCCTCCTGTTCTTTTCACCAACCTACCCATCAAGCCAGATTTCTTACAAAGCACGTTACTGATTAAGAGCTGCTAACTGCAAGTGTTCAGACAAAATAACCCCCCCAAATCAATTAAAGACCTTCTGTTCATAGATGTGAGAGGCGATAGTCAGCTGTATTATCTTTTTTTCTACGTGTTCATTACTCTGCTGAATCCACGAAACCTCCACCGCTCAAAAAGGCAACAAAAATCCCCACTTTGAGATGGAACAACACTCCCTGAACAATCCAGATGTCACATAAAAAAAAAGAAGGAAGAAAAAGCTAATTCATAGCTGTGATACTTTAGGTTAAAAATAAAATTAAATTTAAAACCATGAACTGTTTGATTGGTGTTCCTCACTTGAACAAAAACAACTTCAGAGTTTGGTAAGATGACCTGGCGATTCTGCTTCTGCTATTGCAGGGAGTGGCTTTCACCAAGAAAAGGGAAGGGCTTTGGAGGCAGAACCACCTCTAACTCCTACTCACAGACCTGCTTGTCTTGCTCTGCACAGAAAAGTCTTTTCCCCCGCTTGACAAGAGCATTCCAGAGCTGCTCAGTCCCTGTTCTGAGCGGCCAACCCTGCCTGTCACACCTGTACATGCACTTTTATGTTCAGTTTATCCTCCAACACACTTACTCCTTTTTTTTTTCTTCCTCCTATACATGCACACCTGAGCATAAATTTCTCATTACCCCTTCCCTTCCTCCCTTAGTCATAAGCTACTCACCTGAAGACACAGGATTTTATAGGATTGGGTTGGAAGAGACCTTAAAGCTCATCCAGTCCCAGCCTCCCCAGCGACACCTTCCACTATCCCCAGGTTGCTCCAAGCCTCATCCAGCCTGGCCTTGGACACTTCCAGGGATGGGGCAGCCACAGCTTCTCTGGGCAATTTAACACCAGGCCTTCCTGCTGTCAGTGAGAGGGAGTGAGCACAGACCCTTGAGCTATTTTTTAACCCTTAATGGCTACGTTCTATTTGTAAAGAAAACCCAGGTTTTGCATCGAATTCCAGTATTAAGTCAGGGAAGTTTTCCGCTTCCTCAAGCAATCTTCAGAGCCATTCTTCAAACTGCTTTTAATCTGCCTCCTTGTCAGGCACACAGACAAAGCTACAGCCTTGCCAAGGCACAAATCCCCCTGGAGATGCTTCTGTGCACACCCAGCCGCCGATACCCCGAGCAGCCCACCCTAATTACACTGCCACGTGCCGCAAATACCGACCCGCTCGTTCCACCTACACCGGGGGAGCTGTTCCTCAGCTTTTTTGCGGTGCCAGTGAGGGCCACAGCTGGCAATTCATCTTCACACGTGTCCCAGAGACAGCCTGCACTAAGGTCTCCGTCTGGGGTGGGAAGCGAGGATTGAAAAGGATTTAAAGCACGTGCTTGCTCAGGAGACAGGTAAAGACTCACACACTGGGGAGAGAAACTGCTCACTGGACTGGAAATTAAACGTGGACCTATTTTCCCAGAGGATGTAAATTTGGTTAAAGGCAATAGCTTTTAACAGACCTGCTGAAACAGAAGAGGGGGTGAACGTGACCAACAGAGTCCCTGTTTCAGATTTCAGATAGAAGCAGGAGCCTCGAGGTGAACAGAGCCTGGAAACACTAGCTCTGATTTCTGATTTAAAATACAACCAGTTGTATCATTCCAGGGAAAAGGCTGTGGCCAGCTATGGGAAAAGGAGCGAGGGGAGGCCGGATGTAAGCCCAGGAAAGACAAGGAGGTGTTGTAGGTGGGACCACTAAGAGGTTGTACATGGGGGGCAATCACTGCCCACCCCAGGCTCAGCATCTCTGCCCCTGAAGCAGCAGAAGTGCACACACAGAACTACCTGTTCAATGAATTATGCTCGTGCCTCATTCAATTATTTTTCTTCTTTCTTTTTTTGTCTCTCAGCAAGGGACCATTTACAAAAGGGAAACAGCTGCTTCGTAATAAAACCCACACGCATTTCACAACAGAGCAGTGGGATGGGTTTTGGGAGGGGATGTTTTGTGAAGCCTTATACAGCCAACATGCAGCACAATAAACTGCAAAATAACCCAGGAGGGTGATGGTCCCAGGGCCATCGAGCTGTAGGAGCAATCAGGAGCAAGGAGATGCAGAACATGAATGCAGAAGGGTAAAGCTTCTTCAGGCGAGGGAAGGAAAAAACATCCACAGTCAAACCTCTTCTGCAGCATTTTGGTAGCACACACCAACCCCTAAAAACATGGTCATGTTCAAAGGCATGCTGGGATTAAAGGAAACAAATGGGATACAAGAACCGGACGTTTCACCTTTCACATTAAACAACAGTAATCACAGCAGCACCTGAAAAAGCTACACATGTAATAGTCAGATTATGAAGGCAACTTCTCCCAGTGCCAATAAACTGGGCTGAGAAAGCTACTGCAAAATGACCTCCAGTATAAGTCAAATGCACATTTCCAGGCGTGTTCCTCCAACTACTGCTGACAGAATGCTGTGAGACACTGCCAGGGACACCTGAACACAAGGCGGGAGTAGCCGAGGGTTTAAACACAAACAAACAAACAGACAGACAGAGCGTGAGAAAAGCGGGCATTCACTTCACAAGCCACGAAATTCGAGATCCAGGGCAAGCGTGATGCTCCCCAGCCTTGCACTGCTCCCAGCCCTGGGGGGAACCTCCCTGCCTGAGCATCCAAGGATCAGAGCTGAGGCTGGGGATCACTCAGAACCGAGGTGCTGGTCCTCACTCAGTGGGGTGTCTGTTTAAGGTTCTGAGGATGTGAAACGCAGCACTTCACACAGCAGCAGAATAACACATCCCTTCCTCCTCCTCCTCCCCACTTCTGCACAAATATAATTTTCCCTTTTGTCTTCCAGAGCGTTTTGGGGGCACACAGATATTCAGAAGCCAAAAATAAAAAGAAGAAGAAAAACCTCAAACCATTTTGCAGTTCATGTTCACCACCCACCATCACTAATTATCGAGATTTGAGAGAGGCAATTTGCAGGCTCCAATCTGCAAAATGCTAGTGAGAAAAATCTCTCAGGCACATCAAAAGTGTCTACACCACCCCCAAATGAAATGCAGCAGGTTTAAGATTAACATCTTACATGCGGGTCAGGAGAAGACTAGAGGCACCCTCAGATGCTGCACTTCATACCCCCAAGTTTCTTCTGAGGTAAAGCCAGGGGAACTCAATTCTTAGAATGGAAATTACCTTCGGAAACCTTCAGCAATTCCTTTTTTTTCTTTCTTCTGAAGCACGTCTATGATGTGCTTTTCTTTCATCAGCTCTTTCAGCACTTTGTTAATTCACTCATCATCCCCTTGCCCCCTTTTTTCTGATGGTCACCACCTCAACAAAACACATTCTGCTTCCACAAACACTTCATAGCAAACGGAGGACCTCCAGTGTCTTACAACAAATGCAAGTTAATTCTTCTATTACCACAGCTGTATTTGTTTTCATCTTTATTGCACTGAGATAACCAATCTTTCATCGTCTTCGGGCTGCAGATACATCTAGAAATTTCCTCCTGTGTTGACCACACAGGAAATCAGGTTAAAATTTCACAAAGCTGAAGAGATCAAAGCAATGAGTTTTGTGCAACCATGAAAAACTCTGAGCTACAAAGAAAAACCACACTGGCTTTTCCTACGAAACAACCTGGTCCAGGCAGAACTCAAGGATTTAACTTACTGCTAGTAATTACATTTATTTCCTATAAGAAATAGCTCTGTTTGACTTCCATTTGGGGTTTTTTTCTCCGAAAAAGAAGACAACAGCAATGAATTCTGAATTTGTCCTGCACAAGGGCTGCTGGTAGTTCGCACCTGGGACTTCCCCACTGCGACATCCCTCTTCCTCAGCTACCCTCCACCAAAAAAGGTGGCTTTTTACCTTTTACTCAACAGCCAAAAGGCATTTTTCGAGCCAAAAAAGATATAATTTTTGCCTTTGCACCAATGGCCCGAGGAGGGAAGGAAAGGTTTAAAAATAATGTGTCACATAAGCTCTCTTTCTCCCTCCTCGAATTATTCAAATAGACATAAATAGCACAGTTTACATTGAAAATTAACCCACAAACCTGCTAAATGAGCAATATCTTGTAGCAGCAGAAGGGGAAAAGGGCTCTTACTCAGGGGAAAAGCATCTTACTCAGGCTGCCCCAATAACACCACTGACAAACTAAACCAGCCCAGTCACCCAGTGGGATGGTGGAAGTGCCATTTGCATGCATCCCCCCTCCTCCTTGGGAAGTCGTGCTCAGCAGAAACCACTTCTCAAAGACCAAACAAGAATATTGCAACCTGACAGCTAAAAAGACCTGACATTAAAAACAGAGAAGCTCATCCACCCAGTTTTTCCCAGCAGGGAGGGCCTGGTTTGAATTAATTCTACTAATTCATATCATCAGCTTAATACAGGCCAGGGTTGGCCCCTCTGAGGCTTAGCTTACCTTTTTTTTTTATCAGCAAAATTAGCTGCTTATTTTATTTCCTTTTGTTTGCAACCAGCATTTCTGCTGGGGTTTTGATGTACTGAAGCAACAAGTGATTTCCAAACAGGGAAGCTCTCAACAGCAACGTGATACTTCCTAGG